ACCATATATATATATATATATATATATATATATATATATATATATATATATATATATATATATATATATATATATATATATATCAATTATATTATTAATGATTATTACTTTGTAATGATTTTTTAATAATATTCGCATAAGTTTTTTCAAATTTAATCCAAAAAATAAGTTATATATATATACATATATATATATATATATATATATATATATATATATATATATATATATATAGTGTTAGCTTAGTGTTAGCTATTAGCACATAATAACCAGTGTCTATTAATAACAAATAAAATTTACGTGTGTTGTGTAGTCGTTCGTTGAAATACCTAGTTTAAACCTGTAATTAATCATTTTCGCGTTTTTTCTTTCTCCATCTCTCTCTCTCTCTCTCTCTCTCTCTCTCTCTTTCTCTCTCTCTGTCTGTCTTTCACTGTTTTGTTTCTAATTTTTTTTTTCTTCTTCTTTTCTTATATTTTTAAAAAATAAAATCAACGTTTCAATATGACTCAAGGCGAATATCGTTAAGAGAAATAAGTTACGGACTGAGACGCATGCATATCTTCCTGCATTATTCTCCCAACCAGGCTGCTGAACATTGGTGAAACATTGCGGGTTATTATTTTCAGTTAAATATAAAACCATTTCCCCCTCTTTTTTTCACAAAAACACATCTGCAAAAGCAAGAAATTAAGACCTGGGGCTCTCAAATTCAATTCAAAATTTATATTTTGTATCAATTTATCGAAGTTAACTTGGAGTACAAGTATGTTTGTTTAAATTTTATATAAACCTTTTATTTCTGTTTAAAATTTTCTAGTTCGTACATACAAAAATAAATAAACCTCGATAGATGACACTTTCAACATTGAGATGCTAGCAAAAATTTGACACATGATATCTCTATCAATATTCTTAATTCAGAAAGACATATTTTAGGAGTTTTAAACTTTTACTAAATTGAGAAATTTAAGCGGAAAAAAATGACATTTATAAAATTTATTAATTGTGGTTTAAGGTTTTTTATTGAAAAGCAACTATAAAAAACATAAAAAAGAGATATGTCACATTTGGAATGTTTAAATAAAAATCATTGGCATAAGGCTCGTGTCCAAAATGCATTGGGAAGTATAATTTCCTAGTCACGAATGGCCCTATTTGAAAAATTTAATTAAATAAATGATCATTTATTTCAAAATTAAATAACTAAATGAATAATTTATTTTTATTTAGAAACAATTACGTCCTGTTAAATATGTACATGTTCTATAAATGTCTATACTATGCATAACTCATCAGACTATCTAAATAAAATAGTCATAGCAGATTTCAAAAGCTAGCATTGTTAAGTTGCTTCACGTGGATCATGGGAAGTTAGTTTAGCTACTCAACGTTATTACGCCTAACAATGGTTTAGATTTGGAACTATGTACAATTGCGTATTACTTTCTAATATTTGTTAGAGAGAGAGAGAGAGAGAGAGAGAGAGAGAGAGAGAGAGAGAGAGAGAGAGAGAGAGAGGAGAGAGATAAAAGAAAAAAATAGAGAAAGAAGGAAAGAGAAAGAGAGTGAAAAGAAAGATGAGAGAAAGAAAGGAGAGACAGAGAGAGACAGAAAGAAAGAATGAAGTTTGTTCAAAGTGTTTGAGTTTTCGTTCAAACTTTTGCTAGTCCGTTCTTTGGATCATTCATCCATCTATTTATTTATTCATTCACGCATTCATTCATTTTTTCATTCATTCATTCACTTCACACATCCACATAAATAAACCCACATGCACATGTGTGTGCATTGAAAATGCACGCGAGTTCGAACGACTTAAGAGTCACGAGATTTGTATATCTTCCTTATAAGAATATCATTGCTGTTTGAATTTACCCTGCTTAGTGTGTGTGTGTGTGTGTGTGTGTGTGTGTGTGTGGGTGTGTGTTAATAAATGTGTGTGTGTATGCGTGCGTGTGCGTGTGTGTGTTTATAAATGCATATCAACAAATAAGAGAATATATGAAATGTTATTTTCACATATGTGTATGATGTACGTGTGGTATCTGCAGTTGTAGTAGTAGTAGTAGTAGTACTAGTAGTAGTAGTAGTAGTAGATGTCGTTGCTTCAGTGGCGGCCAAAAATTTCCGGATCATTATCACTCCAGTTAACATTTATCAGCCCATAATACGGTAGTCTGCCGTTATCCTGATCGTCATCTTTTCTTCTGTTGTTGTTGATGTTGTCGTTGTTGTTGCTGTTGTCGTTGTTGTTGTTGTTGTTGTTTTGTAAAACCATCTCTACATTATTTCTATTTGTATTATGAAATACGCCCTGTTGTAAATAACCAGCCCTTTGTGGATTATTATTGCTAGTGTTATGATGAACATTATTGTTATCACTATTCTTGATGTTGTAGTTGTAGTTATTATTAATATTTTTCTTCTTATTATTATTTGTGTTATCATCACCATCATAACCATCACCCTTTCTTTCATCGTCGTTATCATTAGCATTAATTCTAGGAACTTTTTCGTTTTTATCATAATGATGATGACGATGATGATTGTAGAGATTTATATTATTATTATTATTATTGTTGTTGTTGTTGTTGATGTTGTTGTTGTTGTTGTTGATGATGTTGTTGTTGTTGTTGTTGTTGTTGTTGTTGTTGTCTTCTATTTCATCACACAAAACGTATTGGTTATTATTTTCCTCTGCATCATTCTTACCATTAAAACCGCCATTGGCTTTGTTGTCAATCGTACCATTCGGTATATTGCAGTCGTATAATGTATCGCGACTATTCGTCCGGTCAATTATGATGTCGGTATTGAAGGGATGGTACAGTTTCGAATACAGACACTCGGTATTCGTTCGGTTAACTGTATCCGACTCCGCCTTATTGTCGTCTCTGTGTGATGATTTTTTTTTATCAGGAATATGAAAATTAAATTAGAAATAAAATTAAATAAAAAATTAAATATAATATTGAGAGTAATGGACATAGAGAAAAACCGAAAAAAATATATGGAAATATATTAAAGTAAATTACTTTTTATTATTTTTCTTTTTCCTTTTGCAGAGAAACACAATGATGATTGGAAACGCCACGAACGTCACTCCACCGGCTGCCGACCCAACTGCAATGCCGGCTACATTGTTAGCTGAGATGACGATGAGGATGACGATGACTACTACTACTTCTACCACTACTAATACTACTTCAACTACTACTACCAATACTGCTACTGCTGCAGCTGCTACTACTACTGCAAAAACTGGTTCAAATAGTGCCTGTCGAAAACTTTAAAAGAACTTGAATGCTTGATGCGGTGCTGGCACATACAAAGTCATGTGGTGTGTGTGTGTGTGTGTGCGTGTGTGGTGTGAATGTGTCGTGTGTATTTACATAATGTCAATATAAAAAGTTTAACTGCTCAAAATACTCAAAATATACTCAATAAACCTTCCGTCGGCTTCTCTGTGATGTTTGGAAGATTAGTGGTAATATTATTAATCGGTAGTAATGATGGTGGCGTCATCCATGGAGGGGTGCGTGTTACTGCAGTTGTTACAGTGGCAGCAGCTACAGTAGCAGTAGTAAATGTAGTTGTAGTAGTAGTAGTGGTGGTAGTAGTTTTAGTAGTAGTAGTAGTAGTTGAGGTTTGGGGTATTTGTTGTATACTATCGTCTACACTGGATGCTATAAAAAAAAAAAAAAAATTAATTTAGCGTTTATAATCATTGATAATATTCTCATTTGACGGATATAAAAAAATTGAACTGCTTCTATATTTATTAATTCTCTATAGAGATATTTCTGGTGACAACGATTATACTTTTTTGACGACAATCTCTGAATTGTTGTTAACAACTGCCAGCTTTTTTAATGGCAGCTGTTACATATCAATTCATACTGACGACATACAAATTTCACCATTAATCTTATCCATACAAGCGTAAAGCCTGCCGCCAAAATACGATGAAGCCTTCCATGCCACATCAACACCATTGTAAACTACGAAACCGAATTCATAACCGTTTCGTGGTTCTTCTGCACCCCAATATGAGAAGGTCATTTTATATCCTGCAGTTTGTAGATGTTATTTTAACAATTTAATGTAATTTTATTATTTTTATAAATTTTTAATATTTTTATTAATATTAAATTTATTGGCAGTTGTTTAATTTGTAAGTTAGTTTAAAGTGGGGAGAACACAGTTGAACTTTTAGAAAATGCTCTACACAAATGCAAATTGTCTGATGGAACGAGTGGATTGAATGAAAGAACTGAAGATGTAGGTAAGGTGTTTTGTGTGTTTGCTCTTGATACTTTTAAGAACCAATGAAGAAAGATCCGTGAAATGATATAGCATTTTAAAAATAGTCTTAAAAATTGACAACAACATCATGACGAACCATCATTCCACATCCATAATCTATCAGGATTTTTCAGTAATCCCATCGTAATATAAAAATCCGTCGTCCTAAAATCCGTGACTCCATCCCAGCTCTTAATGGCTTCTAGGTACATACTATTCATTGACGACGTGTAGAGCTTGAGTAGGGTCAGTTTTTCAGTTGAGCAGACTTTTTCAGCCTCTGCAATGTCAAATACTCTGTAGGACGTATTGTAGAAGTGCATACAGAACCTCGATCCATCTGATTTGATGCTGCTTTTACAGTACGGAGTGTACGTTGGCCAAATTCTTTGTGATGAGATCATTTGTATGAAGATGGTGATGAAGAAGAAGAAGATGAGAATGATGGTATGGACTGTGTTGGTAGTTTGGATGCAGTGACGATAATTAGACTGTGGTACCATTTCTGTTTCTTAATGTTTTGATGAGTTTTAATTACGTGCTATTTCAAACTGTTGAATGTTTTAAACTCGAAAATTATTACTGTAGTAAAGTGCTCTCGTGAGTGGTTATACCATGCTCTTATTGTTAATAATAATATCAATATCATTTGTATTAACAGTTGAATAGATGCAGCTAAAATAATCTGGCATTTTGTTCGCAGTTCTAACATACTTCTTACTAATTGCCAATTTCAATCTATCTGTATGTAAGTACATGAATTCAAATGCTACAGCCCTATAAATCCATTGTTTTAGCTGAAGAAATTTTGCACACACACTCACACAAACACACACAAATGCATGTGCACACACATATACACGTGTGTTTGCGTGTGTGCGCGCGTATATATATATGTGTTTATATGTGTATATTTGTATATATGTATATATATATATATATATATATATATATATATATATATATATATATATATGTGTGTATATATATATATATATATATATATATATATATATATATATATATATATATATATATATATATATATATATATATATATATATATATATGTATATATATATACATATATATATATA